ACTAAACATTTATATAATCAGATTTAAATAATAAAATTTAAAAAAAAAGCAATGTGAGAAATTATAAAATAGTTGGTACAAGCAGGTTGTTTCTAGATCACGTTACGTAGTGCTTAAAATCGTAGTTGATGGATATTGGTAATAGAAAGAATATAGATAATGGGTTTGTAGTTTCATATACGCGCCAAGTTATGGATGATTAAATGTACGTTAAATAACTGTTGGGATAGATGCACTTGTATAGGCTAACCAACAAATTAACCCTTTGGACTCGAGAGCTGACTCTCAGTCACCACTAGGTTTCCTTTAGGTTTAATTTCTTTGGAACTCGAAGAGTCAATAAAATGATTGTCGTTGAGACAAAAGCGACCTGATTCTCAAATCTCAAATTAGAGATCTCATTTTTGAAGTCAATCTGAGCTTAGCATTCGTGACAATAGAATGCTAAGAAAGCATTTCGAGTTGCTGATAGATACCAGAAAAAAGGCCTCGAGTGCAAAGGGTTAAATCCAAAATAGAAGTGCACCCTTACCTGCAGCGGTAGCGACTGCAGCATGGCCACGTGGGTTTGGTCGTTCGTCACCACTTTATCTCGCGTTTGGTATCGACATCTCACGTGAAAACCTCTACCCTGGTTCGTCACCAATTTCAGGTGTGGCTGCACCACTATTGTGTTGAAGTATTCGATACCACCGTCATCCTGAAACAAAATTGAGAAAATACGATTAAGGAGTGTTCAAGCCCTTATTCGAATTCAGAAGCGTTGAATTTTATATTCTTCTAAATTTGTTTTGAACCGCTTTTGTTTTATCGATATGTATGGCTCGGGACGATATAAATGACGTACACAAGAAACTTGAATAAAGCATTTCAAAGTATTATTAGTATTATATTTTTCTTTGAATTATTGGATACGTATTGTCAATTAACAAGGAGAATGCGTTATCGAACGATAACTGTAGAAATAAATCTCGCTACGTTCTAGAAACATAGGTTGTAATTATAGTAATGTGTCATACAATAACGAAATGTTTCTCATATTTCTAAACTTATAATTCTTAACACTAAACCTACCACAACCGGTCAAGTGAGGGTTTTCAATCTTTCGTATACAGTTCTTATATAGAATGCATGTATAAATTATATACAATTATTTCATGCAGTATTCAGTTTAGCACCAAGTGAAATATTTTTCCATTCAATTCAATATCACTGAAATATCATTTCTAGGCCAATTTAACTTCGACTTACATTTCTTTTTATAACCTTTCTAAAGCTTGTTTCGCAAAAGGGATTTTCAGTATGTTTACGTAAAATAGAATGTACGTAAGGGCGCAGAAAATGTTTTTATATTTAGGCGTATCTCTAGGTACAAAGAAAAACGTTGAGCTATGATTTCGTTCCGCGTTGTAATTGTTCGGTGATTATTCCAACACCGCCGACACGTTCGCGTTTCGGTGCAGTCTGTTGCAATTCCCTTAGCGTTTACGGGCGTTTTGGCCGCAGTAATCGCGAATGTGACTCCGATCACGTTCCGCTGGACTTTCAGTCCTGCAAGCAATCCGTCTGTCCTTGCACCCTGCCAGCAAAAAGCAAAAACCGGACCATTCGCGTTCGCTCCACGCGTTCACTCCTCTCGTCTCGCTTGTTCGCGTAGTCGAGAACAGTAGAAACTTGGACATCTCTCTTTAGAAGTGTCTCTTTGCCTCTTTGTTCTTTCGCCTCTCATTCTTCGTGGAAGCTGGCGACATTGATTAATTTTATTAATTTTCCAGTGGTCTTGGCGCCGTTCACCAGAAAATAACTCGCGAATCAAAGAGCTCGTGCAAGATTGCTCAAAGAATGTTTTATGACTCGGAGTAGCTAGTCTCGATTCTTCTGCCGGTTGAATGATCCTCGTTTTTCTCCCGCCATGCGTTACCGCTCGTGGGTATTTAATTTTCTTCTTCGACGAGCTCCTCTCGCAGCGCTCGAACGAGCCAGGCCCATTATCATTAATGTGAACAATAATCGCGGTTAATGAAGGTAATCGCAATCGAAGCTTCCTGCGGCTTCTGCGGACAATAAGTGTAATCGGTCAATAATGATGAGCCTTAAAGGACGCGGATGATGGCGCTTGGGCATTGTGGTCACGTGTTGCACGTATTTGCACGGTTCTTCGTTGCGTCGGAAGATCGATTTTGGTGTCATATCTATTTTGTCAGAAACGTTGATCGTACTTGTTGAGAGCCATTTACTATTTCTGATTAGCGTTCGTGATTACTAGACTGCGGATCTTTATGCAAAATAAAATCTTCGCAGACGTGCCTACAAAAATTGAATCCAAACAGGAGTTTATTTTTTTCTGCAAATATTATAACACGAACTTTACTTTTAATCTTTTTTATATTCTTGCATATTGTTTGCATTTTGTAGTTTCTTGCACATTCAAATTTCCTATAAATGCATAAAGATCTGCAGTCTAGTGATTCCAAACTATCATGCAAAGACGACGAAGTAAAGTAACATAATAACGTGCGATAGTATATGTATAGAAAGGCTTTTCCAAGGAGGTTGTAGAATAAACGGCATTATATTTCGCGTTTACTTGTAATCGCGTGTACTTTTACTTAAAATAAATAAATTTGGTATATTCCACATCAACTAATTATGGTTTATTTAAAAAACTGTGAAAACTGTCTATGCAAGATTTAATGTTGGCGTTGTTTTGGAATAAAAACAAGTCGAGGATTACGTATTTATTTTGAGAATTTTAAAAACAAATCGAGGATTGCATATTTATCTTGAGAATTATAATAGAAAAATCGACTAAATGTACTGCATAATGGTCTTACGAGGATCATTTTCTCTTAAATGTTTTATTCTCAGTTATCACTTTTCTTGAACAAACACAAACTAACACACTTGAACTGACAATTGTATGTCTCTCAGATACCAACTCTCCCCACTTCCTGCAAATTCTTATTTCTCTTGTTTGTAGTTTTGCTTGAGTAGCACCGGGTCACAATTGTTTCTTAAATGAGATTTGCGGATTGTTTAAAAAAATTGTACCTCCGATACTGAACCATCGATGTTTATATAACGTTTCCAACTTTATATGACCCCTTACGAAATTAATCCAGACATGTCTTAAACTTGGGACGAATCCATGATTTAAATTTTTGTTTTTCAATTAATTATTTATACAGGTCGAATTAACATTAAGGTCATTAGCGACCACAAGGGTATAACATATATAAATTATAAGTTTACATCGTTAAACTTAAGAATAATAATAAATACATTGGGTATAGAGTGATATGAAATTGTCTTGAACATAATGAGAAAGTGTGATACACATTTATGTGCTTGAGGAATAATAAAATTTGGGTTACGTTTGTATAATTATTGTACTAAAACGAATTATGTTTTCCTCGTGGAGACATCATATACATATATACACATATATAAAGCAGACTAATGCTAGATCCTAAAGAACCATAATGCGTAAGCATACTTGACGCTTAAACTAAGGCAGTACTAAAACGAATGTTTGTATAATTATTGAGGCATTCATTTAAACTGTTGGGGTAGCCAAATGACGTCTTTGGGAGGAGTAAAGAGAAGGACATTTTAGGATGAGATATTTAACCGAGAGTGGAGTATTACATTGAGTATTATATGATCTTGCAAAATCCTGTGTAAATGAATGAGATTGAGGATGTCGGAGTCGAGTGATGACTACCTGGTCTCTTCTATTTTCTATAGAGGGACAGTCAAGACTAAGAAAGTTTTGCCTTACCAAGAGTAAATCAGAGGGAGGAGAACTAGTCCATCTTGAATTCCATACGACTTTAATTAATCTTTCCATTTGTTTAGTCAAATCTCTGTGAGAAGAGGATCGGTTTGAGGAAATTTCTTTAGAGGCCTTCTTAGTCGCAACGTCTGCAGTTTTATTGCCCAGTATCCCTACATGAGAGGGGATCCAGGAGAAAATGATTCCTTTATTAAGATTGTTGGCACTAATTAATGCGTTGAAAATGTATAATAATGAGATCTTGATTTTCAGGATTCGTTAAACTTTCCAAAACACTGGCGGATGTGATTTGAATTTGATTTCAAGGTTTCAGAGCACGTATCGTCTTCGTTTCTGTGGCCGTTAGTCTCCCCTGTTGACAGCCACGAAGCACGAGGTATTGCATAAGGTGTACCGAGGTTAGTATCGAGTTATTACTATCGCAGTTTGCGGCAATAGAGCAGAAGATACGGCTATAGAGCAAAGGTGCGAAATACCTGGATAAAATCGCGCATGAGTACGACTGCACGATCTAGGAAAGCGTCCCGTTCCGAGTGACATTGCAAAGCAACCACCGCGACCTTGGCACCGTGTTTCGCGAAGCTTCGGTCGCGTTGGTCGTTGCCGTACCGTTGTCATTATCGTCATTAACGTCTTGTTCTGGCTCTTCCTCTCTGGATTATTAAAACGCAAACAAAGTGCGATAAAAAGGCAGCTAACGCGTCGCCGTCGGAGCGAACTAATTTCGTTCGGAGAGAGGATGATCGTAGTCTATTTCGCGAACCCAATTAAGTCTCGGATTCGCGATACGATCTCTTGCGAATCAGGTATGAGATCATCTAGGTTGTTGCTGCTCAACACTTCCGGGTTTGTAATTTCCATCCTTTGAGAAGTAAGATTCGCGGTGTTTCGGTATCGGAGCATCGTTCGCTCTCCGACGATGTTCTAGGTAAGTGGACCCTGAAGTCTCGGTATTAGCTATGAATAAAGAAATTACTGGATGCGGATATGGAGAAGAGCCGACATTCTATCTGGGAGAAATGAACGATTAAAGAAGGTAAGCTAGGTTTCAGCATTATTAGCACTGGTATAACTGACTGCTATACTATTCCTGGCTTGGAGTCCACTTAGAACGATAAGTCCTTGGTGAAAGGATCGACGGTGACTACGGAAGACAATGGACAACTATAATTTAGCGATCGCTTACAGGCGGTGGACAAAATAATGCGAATGTGTACGAAATACACTATATAAGTGATTCCCAAACTGTGAGCCGCGGCTCCCTGGGGATTTTGCAAATATTAACCCTTTGCGCTCGAAGCATTGTTCTATAGAATCAAATTCAGTCCATTTTTATAATAAGTTTCTGTGAAACCAAAAACTCTGCTTCGAATAGAAACATCTACGAATGTTCATGACTCAATGAATTATTATTTCAATTTATAATTAGTTGTATTCTGATAAAAGTAAAATTGAAATTGTACGTTCAAAAAATCAGTTTTAAATTACATATGTCGCACTAGAAGCGCCACTCGAGCGCAAAGGGTTTAACATTAGAGCTTCATATAAGCCGTTTATTATGAAAAAGAGGTTAGTCCACATAATAAAAATGGAGTTAATGATGGATAAACTTTTATTTTGGTATTATCTTCATATTTTCATTCAATTTAGAGATCCATCTTTTCAAAATCATTACAATTTTCATAAAACAAAAGTTCTTCTCCATAAGAATTGCATTGCATTTCAAATGCAAAACTGTAAATATCTCGAAACAAAAAATAATGGACTTGCCCCATTTTCATAATAATTTAATTTTAATTTAATTTTGTCGTTAGCTCCTTAAAAACCACTTATGCCAATAAAGTTTTTATTACAACTTATGTTTTTTCGCTCGACCATTCTACAATACATTCTTTCTCTGCTTG